TGTCTGTCCTTCCCCCATCTCCCCCCATTTGTGGGTCTGTCTCCCCCACTTCCACCCCCTGCTGCCCCTATGGCCCGCTATCTCTCTTTTCAGAACATCATCTCCCTCCATCTTCCGTGGTCCTCTGACCAGGGTGTCGGGGGGGGGGGGCACAGCCTGCGTTCTCTCCCCAATCAGACACACTCCCCTCGTCCTCACAGCCAGCCTGCCTTGATTCCAGCTCCCCATTTGTCTTTGCCCTTCCTCTGCCTCTTGGGAGTCCCAGGCTCCTTCCCTAGCCTGCTGTGCTAGGCTGGGCTTGGCCCAGGAGGTCCAGAACCCTCAGCCCTGCCCTCAGGGTACCTCCCCCGGGTTTTGTTGTCAAGCTCCTCCTAAGAACTTGGGGTGATGGGGATGGAGGGGGCCCAAGGCTGGGGTGCAGGTGCAGCTGGAACAGTTCCAGGTGGACCAGCTGGGTGCATAGGAACACAGTCCCCTTGCCCTTGACTCATTTCCAACATCGCTTAGCTGTGGAGCAGGGGGCAAGGGATCTGTGCCTCAGTTTCCTCACTGATAAAATGGAGATGCTGCAGGTGACAGCTGAGGCCTGGGGTAATGGCACACAGCGCTCAGGTGTGTCCCGCAAGGGAGACCCACAGAGGTGCGGCCTCCACACTGACCACTGTCCAGGGTGCAAGGCTCGGACTCCTTCAGTACCCATCAAGCCTTGCTCCTGCTCCAGTGGCCTCGCGTGGCTGCGGGAGGGGCTGGACAATGGGTTCCTGGGGGCTGAAAAGACCCCCTTACTGTACCCGGGTTCTTAGTCTCAGCGCGTCAGCTGCGCCCGGAGGCAAGCTTCCAGGAGTCTCAGTTCCCAGGGAGGACCACCCTCCCTCCTTAGGGTCTTCAAGCTTAATGAACTTCACAGACCCCCAGTGACCTCTCCCCCTGTGGGCAAAAAATTCCGCCTCTGGGCGCGGAAGGCTGGCGAGGACGGGCCACCCCGGCTCTCCCGCACTCCCCTGGGCCTTACACGCCCCGAGGGCGTCCTTTCTCTGCAGGGCATTAAGTGCAGTTTTGTGCTCCTGCAGGCCCCCTGGAGAGCCTAACCACAGCTTTCTGATCCCTCTGCTGTGCGACCTTCCTCCCAGCGAGCGGGCGTGGGCGAGGCGGAGGAGTGAATGCAGACGGGTGTGACACCTCCGCACAGGAATGCGGCACCCGCAGGGCGAGCCCAGTGCCACTGCGCCCTGCTCCCGGGAGCCTCACTCAGCAGCCGCTGCTTCACACGAATCCGCGCCACCCCTCAGGGCCCCAGAGAGGGACGTCTTCTAAGGGTGCACAGCACAGAAAACATTACAGAGATCAAAGAGGCACTTGGTAGGGAGAAACCGAGAGAGTTCTGGACAACCGGCTACCTGTTGGCCCTGTCACCCAGGGCCTTGGCTCTCTCCTCGAAGGCAGGGGTGTGTGTGTGTGGGGGGGGGCTATTCTGTACCCTCAACTGGACACCGTAAGCTGCTTAAAGGTGTCAGAATCTCTGGGATCTCCGACTGTCTCCCGGGGGGGGGGGCTGTCTTCCCCTCTCCTACGGGGAAGGTTTAAAGATGAAGTGTGAGGTCTTCTAGTACGGCTAAGATCCCAAAGATTCTACCTGCAGGAAGGCACGAGGCACAGCGGGAGGGAGAGGGTCATCCAGGTGTTACTAACTCCAAAGGTGTTCTCCCTTCACAGGTTCCCTAACCTAACCCACTCCAGGGCGTAAATGCCGCAGTCCACGCCTGTTCTCCCCCTTTTTGTTTTTCCCTGAGACAGCTTTTCTTTTCCTCCCTCCCCCACCTTGGTTGTTTTGTTGTTGTTGTTGTTGTTGTTTTGATTTGATTTTTTATCTTTTGAGACAGGGTTTCTCTGAGTAGCCCTGGCTCTCCTAGAACTGACTGTGTAGGAGGCTGGCCTGGAACTCAGAGATGCACCTGCCTCTGATTAACGGCTGGGGTCCATGGCCTGAGCCACCACTCCTGGCTCATGTTCTTAATGCTCTCAGGTGGGTTTTAACTTTCCTGCAGATATGGCTTCCTACTGAGCAAAGAGCCAGGCTGCCCGCAGGGGCTAGCTTCCCTCACGGAGGGAGCTTCGCAGAACCTCCTGCAGGACGGTCTGCTCCAGGAAGGGGCAGGCTGCTCTCTACCCCGAGAGCTGTCTTTAAGAGCTGGAATACACCCCCAGGGCCACACCCCTCACCCTTCCATCTTTGCACAAGTTTTAGTGGGTTGCTTGGGCCAATCGATGCTGGTAGCCCTGGGTTTCACCCACCCGCCACTCTAAGGGCTACCTGACAAGTTACCTCGTTTCCAGGTAAGGACCCCCCCCCCCCGAGACTGGGGGTGAGCGGTGAGTGCCTGCTTTTGAAGGGTTGTGGCGGTGACTGCCACAGGAGAGTTCCGGTCACTGCGTATCCGTTTGGGCACTGCCAGTCTTGCCCTGGGGTAGGAGGCTCTTTCCACAAAGATCCAGGTCTTGGAGGTCTTCCAGCATTGTGGGGGTGAAGGCAGGACAGGAGGAGCAAGAGCTCAGCGGCAGCCTCAGCCACATAGTAGGGTCCATCCTGGGCTACAGGAGACCACATCTAAAAATCCAAAACACAGTGAGTTCTTGGGGGTTTGGAAGTGGGAAGAAACCTGACTGGGACTGGGGGAGTGCAAGTTGGGGCAGGGAGGCCCCGAAAGGGAGTTGAGACTGGGGTGGTGGGCAGGGTAAGCGCTGCGGGAGGCCCTCGGGATGAAGAGCCGCCCCTCCTCCTGGAGACCTCGCCTCAGTGAGGGCGGCCTGGCTGGGCCTCTCCCAGCACCGATGTGCTTGTGAGACCAGATTCGTGCCCCTGTGAAGGCAAGAACCTCAGGTGTCTGTCTGGGATTGCGCCAGTGAAGGTGCGCGCCCTGGCGCGGAGTCCGGTCACCCCGTCACCCCGGCTCTGAGCACCATGGACCAGGAAGGAGGCGCTGGAGGTTGGGGTGGTTTGTGTGTCTAGAACAGAGGCCTAGTCCACGATGGCCTGTCTCTGTGTCTGGCGGTGCGTCTGTGTCTGTGTGTTTGCATGGTCTGTGGCACCATTTCTATGTGTCCCTATGTCTGCCTACCGGCCTTCCAGGCCGCGGGTCTGTGTGTGTGTGTGTGTGTGTGTGTGTGTGTGTGTGTGTGTGTGTGTGCGCGCGCGCGCGCGCGTGCGCGCGCCCTCGCATAGGCTAGGCCCAGCGGTCCCTCCTCTAGAGCTGGTCCGTCTGTCTGCGGGTCCTCCCGGCGTAGGACAGGAGGTGGGGAGGGGAGGGGAAAGGTGTTGGGGGTGTCTCCCCGCCCCCACCCCACCCCCACTCCCTCAGTCCCGGGATCGAACCTTATTTAGAGTCGCAATTCGACATCTGTTTTCAAATTTGATCAGCTCTGAACTTTATTTTCCGAGTTTGAGGAAAATTATATTCCATCGATCGCGCGCCCGCCCCCTCCCCCGCACAGCCGCCGCCGCCGCCTCCATATATCTGCGCGCCGAGCCGGGCCGGGCGGCCGCGAGGGCGGGAGAGCGCGCCGCGCCGCGAGGAGCGAGGGAGGAGGAGGAAGGGGAGCCGCGGGAGCGGGGCGCGGAGGACGGTCCCGGCCCGGCCCGGCCCGGCGCCCCCCGCCCGCCCGCGCCCGCGCCGGGTGCCCCGTCCCGCTGCCTCGGGACCCCGGACCCCAGCCGTCGCTCCTGTCCCCGCGGGACTCCGGGCAGCCCGCGCCCCGCGCCCCGGGGGCTCCTCGCCCCGGACGCCGCGGGACCATGGCCGCGGGCCCCGAACTTTGAACACTTCTCCCCGGCCCGGAGCGGACGCGCCAGGCGCGGAGAGTGAGTGCGCGCCGCGGGCCGGCTCGGGGGCGGGGAGGAGGGGCGGGGATTGCCGCCCGGGGCGGGGGCCGAGGCCCGGGCGCTCCCCGGAGGCCCGGGCCGGGCGCTGTCCGGGCGGGGCAGCCTCGCTCTGGGGAGCGGGGAGGGAGCCCCGCCGGAGCGGGCCCGGGGTGCCAGGCGGGCGCGTGAGCGCCGGAGGTGGGGCCGTGAGCCTGGGGGCGAGGTTTGGGGGGGGGGGGGGGGGCGGGAGCGTGGGAGCCTCGGAGGGGCGGACGGGACCGGCTAGAGTGTGACGGTTTGGGGGACGGGGGCTGAAGGCCCACTTGAGCCGGATCCGGTGCCTGAGTTCAAGGACCGGAGTACCAAGGGTGTTAAAGGTCAAGGCCGGGCTCAAGGGGCTGGAGTCGGGGTGTTTGGCGCTGCTGCCCCCGCTGTTTGGGGATGGAGGTGAGGACTGGGTGTAAGGACCCGGGGGCAGCACGGAGGTCTAGGCTGGGGCTGGAGTTCAAGGCTGAGCGTCTACACAGCTGGATCTGCATGTGTGATGGAAGAGGCCACAGGGCCCGTGGGAAGGACGCCGGAGCCGGGGTCAGCCCGTTTGGGAGCCTGGAGAGCCTAGACTTGAACTTCGGCGTGGGGGCGTCATGGACACCCATCCGGTCACCGTTCCACTGGCGTCACCAAGGGCCACCATGTCTCCACCGCCCAAGTCTCTCCTCACTGTCGCTCCGTCTCTGTAGCATCCCCGCGTCTCCTTCCAGCTCCCCCAGACTGCCAGGACCTGTCTGTCTAACTCTTTTCTCTCCCTCTCACAACACACTCTTAGCTCCTCGGCACTAACTCTTAGATTACCCTCCCAGCATCCCGGGCCGCAGCGTCTCTCGGTCTCTCGCCTGCCACCTCTCCGTCTCTGTCTCTCCCAGTGTCTCTGTCTCCCCCTCGCTGGTTTCCGCTCAGATTAAGCCGGGGACCTAATTCCAGGCCCAGGATCGAATTTTCTGGCAACAAAGGGAAATAGCGAATCGATCGGTCGCTCCGGAGATTAAGAGACAAGCGGCGCGCGGATCTATCACGGCTAAACGGCCCCCCCGCCCGCTCCCCCCGCCCCGCCGGCCGCCGAGGCCCAGACGCGCTCCGCATCGCCAAGCAGCCTCAGGAGCCGGCCGGGAGGGACCCCGCAGCCTGGCCGGCTCCCGGGACACAGCACACCTGTGCCCAGGTAACCCGCTGCCCACACCTGGACCCGCGCTCCTGCTCCTCATCTACGGGCTCACAGCTCCTCCAGGTGAGGACCGAGAGCCTGCCCGCCCCTGCTCTGCCAGGAGCCCTCTCTTACCTCAGCTCACACCTGTTCCTCTGTTGCTGGTTCCATTTTTCATGTCACACTGTCCCCTGCAACATCCCAGCCCTTTCCCTCAGTTCCCTCAATGTGCTTGTCTCTCATCTTCCCATTTAACCTCTGCTTCCCCTCAGAAATGCCTGTCTCTCTCTCTCTCTCTCTCTCTCTCTCTCACACACACACACACACACACACACACACACACACACACACACACACTCACTCACTCACTCCTCCTTTGCACATGACCCCACCCACCCTCCTCATCCATGACCTTTACACCTGTCCTTCAGGTGGCCTACAGGCACTCAGGTGACACACACACACACCCGCCTGCACGGCCCTCCCTCGGCTCTACCTCCCAGCATTTATATAAATAAATACACTCCCAGGTCCCATTCCCTGCACCCATGAACCAGGAGCAGAGCCCACACACCGGCTGTGGAGGCAGGAAGGTCAGAAGTTTAAGGCCATCCTTGGCTACATAGTGAGTTTGTAACCAGCCAGGGCTATCTTAAGACCCTGTCTCCAAAACCAAAACAAGACAAAAATACACTTTCTACCATCTTATTTTCCAACCTGCCTTCGCCACTGGTCCCAGATGCGGAGGAGACACCACTCCAAGCCCCTGCCAATGTTCCCCAGCCCCAGGCCCCTGGCAGCTCAGAGTCTGCCACCGCCACCGTGGGTGCCTTTCCCGAGACCCCTGCCCAGCCTCGCTGTTTTCCAGGGCCTTGTCCACTGAGCGTCACACTTTGCCTGATGGCCCAGCTTCTCCTCTCTGCCACCCTCTGTCCCCACAACACAGGACACTCCAGTCTCTTGGCTGTGGGACTCTGCCGCACTTACAAGGCGCTGGGCCTCCTCTGCTCCTATGTCCTGACCACCATGCTTCACCCTCCATCTTTCCACAAGGTCACATCTGAGCCTCAGCACCAATGCCGTCCCTCACCCGTGCACCCAGGCCCGCCTTCACATCTCTCTGCTGTCCCGCTCTTTAAGCTTGTCTCTGCCACAAAGCTGTCTTTCTTGACCTCCTCCAAAGTGGACACAGCTCCAGGCCACCCTCACGCCTCAGAGGCATTCACTGGCTCCCTACACTGGCTCTGTGTCTCTCTGTTTCTCCTACATCCTCCTGAGCATTCTGGGAACTGGCTGACATGCCAGCCTGCCCTCTCTCTCCCCGTCCCCACCTGCACTCTCCCTGTCCCCACCTGCCCTCCCTGTCCCCACCTGCCCTCTCCCCGTCCCCACCTGCCCTCTCCCTGTCCCTACCTGCCCTCTCAGCCTGCTGCTCATGCCTTGAGGACCAAAGCTTCCGATCCTATCTTGTCTGCAGCCTGATCCATCCCAGAAGCGCCTGTCCCTTCTCGTGGCCCGTCTCCACCCAGCTAGCCCCCCAGGGACGGCCTGGCGGTCATGCTGCCATACAGAGCAATGCCTGAGGCATTTGATAAACTCACGGGACACCTGTGGCCAGCCATCTTACCTCCTCCCTGCACCAGGGAGACCTCCCTTTAAGCCAGGCCTGGGACATAGGCCTGTCATCCCAGCTGCTTCAGCAGGTCAGAGGAAGGTCAGAGGTCAACCTGTTTGAGCAATTTACTGAGGCTCTCACGATGATGAAAAATTTAGAAGTGGATTTGGGGGTGTAGCTCGGCAGTAGAACTGCTAGCCTCTCGTGAAGGAATAAAACCCTAGATTCGACTCCAGGCATTATATATTTTTATGTATATATTTTTGAGACACAGTCTCTTTACATAGCCCTGGCTGTCCTGGAACTCACTCTGTAGACCAGGCTGGCTTTGAACTCACGGAGGTCTGCCTGCCTCTGCCTCCCGAGTGCCAGGACTAAAGGCCTGGGCCACCACCCTGCTGAAGGCTGGGATATTCTGAGTGTCCAGGCAATGCTGCTGGCTTCATAGCTGGCTTTCAGCAGCACCTGGCCACACACATACACACACACACACACACACACACACACACACACACACGGGGGCCTGTCCTCCCCCACCTTGGTGGTGATGCTGGTGGCACTGGTGCTAACAGCCGATTCTAAAGCCATCTCTGTGACCGGGTGCCGCCCACCGCCACACTCATCCTCACGGGGGACCATCACAAGGCAGGTGGCTGACCTGTGTCTCCATTTTGCAGAAAAATAAACTGAGCTCCAAGAAAAGAAATTCTTTTTCCGAGGTCCCAGAAACTGGGCACCGTGGAAGAACTCTAGCCTGTGCCCTTAAAGCTGGCCTTCCCAGCCAAACAGGCCTGCAAGTACCCTCCTGCTCCCAGGCTCCTGCCCATCCTAGCAACCCTTGCTTCTCCATCACCCTCCATCCCTCGCCCTTGGGATGCCCTGCACTCTGTGACACAGGGCTCTTGCAGATGCTGACCCCTGGAACCAAAGCTGCGTCTCACCCTCTCACTCTTCCAACACACAGCCAGATGCACCCCCCCCCCCCCCCCCCCCGCCTTCCCCCCCGCCCTCGCCCCCCCCCCCCCCCATTCTCTGGCTTTCTGCGTTGGCCTCTGCCTCCATCTCTCTGTTTCATGGGCCCTATGTTTCCCCCTTCCTCTCCTTTTTCCTCCGGTGATTTCCGGGATATAACCCCGGTCTGCATGCATGGCAGACAACTCCACCATTGGGCTGTACCCCAGCTGGCGCCCCCTCTTTTCGACAGGGTCAAATGTAACTCAGACTGACCTTGAACTTAGGATGTAGGCAGCCTCTGCCTGCCAGGTGCAGGGGTCTTAGGTGAACTCCCAACCCTTTCTGAGACAGGGCCTTGCTCAACTGTTCAAGCTGGCTTTGAACTCACTCTGTAGCCAGGTGGGCCTCCATCTCGTCCCCCTGCCTCAGCCCTTCAAGCCTCCCAACCCTTTGCCTTAGCTCCATGTCTCTTCACACATCTGACTCTATTTCTGTCTTCTACTCTGTCTCTTCGCGCCTTTTCCTCCTTGTCCCTTGTGCTCCCCAATGACAGTGGAGATACTGGGACCTTGAAATCATCCTGACCTGCCCTGGAGTCCAGGATTCATCACTCATTCTTGTTGGACTGTGTCTAAGTTAGTATTCCCTGGCCTGACCTCAGTTTTCACATCTGTGAAATGGGCACCATGGCAGCTCCTAACCTACAGGTGGAGGTAAGGCTGATGCTGAGGGAAACCACAGGGCCAGAGTCATGTAGGGGTCAGACTTCTTTCCCTAAATCCTCTCCTGGCCCTGTGTCCTCTCCAGGGCTAACACATGGCCCAGAGCTAGCAGAAAGATCCAGAGGAGTCCCAGCCGGCGAGGCCTGGGCACGGGACTGGTGTGGGGCTGGGGACAGGGATCGATCCGCCTCGGCGGCAGAGTGCTAGGGCCAGGATTGCATCTTGTCACAATAATTTATTGCTCTCATCCTGTCTGATCGATGGCGCTGAATTAGCACCGCGCCTGATGCCCCTGGAGCCCGAGCCTCCCCCAGCCTGGCTGGACCCTGCCCCGATGGGTCCCCGCAGCAGCCCAGCGCCCAGCTCCGGCCAGCCCAGGCCCTTCTGCTGGCCCAGGGCAGTTCTGCCACCGCCCCTTGTCCTTGTCCTCCATCTGGCTTCTCTCCTGCTTCTCTGACAGCCTGGGCTCCTGGGTCTTCAGCACCACTCTCTGCTCCTAACTTTCAGTCACCCTCTTGTTCCAGGTTCCTCCCTGCCCGGGTCCCATTGTCTCTTTTGCTATGCCCCAATATTCCACCTAGGGTCCTTTCCTGACCATGTCCCCTCCACTCACCCTCCCTGATTCCCTGCAGTGTGTGTCATGTTCATACAGATTCCACCCAAATCTCAATCTTACCAAGCCCTACAAGGGAACCGCATAACCATGAGGCCTTGGTGGTTGCTCTAGCAAGCTATCTAGCTGCTTAGCCGCTCCCGCTCACACTCCCTGACAATGTCAAGTAACAGTTGTTTGCTGCGTATCTAGGGCCCTGTCTGTGATGGACAGCTTGGGCACCCACAGGTCTACTTTGGGGAGCTTGTGGGACCATTAGGAATGTGGCCTGGGGTGGGGTGGGAAGGGGCCAGGGCTTGTCACAGGCAGGGTGAAGATGGCAGTGGGCACCAGGACAGGAATGATGGTACTGATATGCTGGTAAGGTCCAAGCTGGTATGGGATGGACCAGGTAGGGATGAGGAGGCAGGGGTCTTGGAGCAGGGCTGTGATGGGCCTTAAGGTCCAAGCTGGCATGAGTGGACCAGGTAGGGGTGAGGAGGCAGGGGTCTTGGAGCAGGGCTGTGATGGGCCTTAGGGAGCATTGCCAGTACTGAAGCTGGCTAAAGCCCTGAAGAGGGAGCCGTGAGTCCACAGGGGGTAGGGTGGTGTGGAGGACAGGGTCAGGGGTGCTCACTGCAGGGGCCAGGCGGTCCTCCGGCTGTGGAAGCTCTTGTCTTCCTCATCCACTTTCTCGCCTCTGCCCTAATCCCTCAATTTTCTGCATCTCTGCCCCTCCTCTCCTCCCCTCCTCTGCTCCCCCTGACCCAGGTTGTCTGGCGCCCTGGCTCAGCTCTCTAATTTACTTGGAATCAGCCCCTCTCCGTTCATTCCCTCTTCCTGATTCAGTCTCTCCTTGTCTCTCCTCTCCCTCTCTCCCGCCTCTGTCTGCAGGGGTCCAGCGTCCCCCCTCTATCTGGTCCTGTACCTCTTACTCTCCCTCTGGTCTCACTGCTCTTCCCTCTCTCCATCTCTCCCTTTCTCTCTCTGCGACCCTTCTGTCTGTTACCAGCGTCCAGCCTCTTCCATCCTCAGGGTCTCTGCAAGGCGCTGCCTGGGCTGGGGTGGCGTGAGCCTCCGCTCCTTCCCCTCCCCCAGCACTGTTTGGTAGGCGGGGTGCGTGGTACTGCGGCTCCCACCTCCCTGGGGACTCTCCCTCACCACTACCCCCACTGACATCTTTCTGCAAGCTGGCTGCAGCCCCAGGGACGTCCACACTGAGGCTGGCACTCCAGGAGAGAGACAGAGACCCAAAGAGATAGCCATGGCCCCAGACAGAGACAGAGACATGGCTAGGTGGGGCGGGGGTCTTCATTCCTGCCCTTTTGGGCCCTAGGCTCCTCCGTCCCTGCCTGGTGCTTCCTAACCACCCCAAATCTGGTTCCAGAGGGACCTCATCCAGGCCTGTCCCTGCCCTGCGGTGAAGCCTTCTCAGAGGTCCCCTTGCATGTGGCACATGTAGATATGGCGTGTGTCAATACGTCCCCAGGCACGGGGGATTAGGTGTGTGTGTGTGTGTGTGTGTGTGCACACGAGGTTTCGGGGCTGTGCTAAGCCACGAATGTGACAGTGGGCCACGGGAGGCGCTCAGCTGTGCCTGTCTAGTGTGACTGTCCGGGACTCGGGTGTGCTGTGTTTGTTGCGTCTTCGTCATATGGGTGTGCAGAGTGACCGGGGCAGGACAGCCCTTCCCTGGGGGTGAGGAGGTAAGGAAGTGTGTGTGTGGGAATGCCGGGGCGGGGTGCTGAGTAGGGGCTCATCAGGGAAGAGCAGTAGGACCCCGGCTGCAGAGGTCCCCTGACCCGCGTCACACACTGGCCGTGTGCGCCCTGGCTCTGGAGGTGTGTGTGTGTGTGTGTGCACACAGTCCTCGGGGAGGCAGAGTGCAGCGGGCTGGAGAACGCCGGCTCGCAGTGGTGTGTGCATGGCCGGCCCTGGAGAACGCTAACGGCTGTGTGTGTGCGCTCGCACGTGCACACGTGTGACCTTGTGATTGTGCATCCCGGTGTGGTTTGGGGACACTGCGTGTGTGCACAAGGTGAACTTGTCTGTGACGACGCGTGTTTGGGTCCCCATGTCTGCTCCATGTGGATCTGTGTGTCAGGAGTGCCCTGTGTCACGGGGTTTCAGCTCCTGCGTCCCGTGTGTTTGGCATCTGTGTGTGAGCCGGGTGCTGTGTGCAGTGCGGGGGTGGCTGGGGCACTTGGCATGTGTGGGCTTCGCTGTCTGCGTGTGTAGCGTGTGTCATGGATATGAGTACCTGCGTGTGGTGTGTGTCACTCCGGACATGGCTAGAACCTGGCCAGGCGTGTTGAGCGTAGGCACGCCTGTTGTGCGTGACTTACAGGCAGCCCAGCCCTGCTGTGGGGGGGCAGGGTGGTACTGCTCCTGTGGGCACAGGCCAGGGCTGGCAGCATGCCCGCAGTCCAGGCGTGTGTGTCCATGACCAAGCAGCTTCATTGTGCTCCACTGTGTGCACAGATGTGTCCACACAGGCATGTGGTGTGAGGAAGGGTAGGTGTGTGTGTGTGAGTGTGTGTGTGTGTTGTGATGTGGGGGCAGGGGTGGGAGAGGGGTCTTGGGCCGCGTCTCTCTCCTCTTTAGACAGAGCCCCGGAGAAGATATGAAATTTAAAAAAAAAATCAATTTTCATTCCACTTGTGCAGATTGTGTTAAGGGGAGGTGGGGGTGGGGGGGCTGGGTGAGGGATGAAGGGGCTGGGGGCGGTGTGAGGCCTGAGGCGGCTCCCGAGGCGGCGGGCGCAGCTTAGAGAAATCAAAACAACTGGTTAAACCACCGCCCAAGGGGCTGGGGTGATGGGGTGAGGAGGCAGAGAGCCCCGGGGGCCAGGAGGGACAGGGGATGTGTCCAGAGACAGAGTGAGGGAGTCAGAGGTGGATGAGGTGGATGCATCTAGAGACAGAGGCACAGAGAGACGGTGACACAGATCCCAGTGACAGACAACCAGGGGACATGACTGAAGAGGGTATGAGGCAGGCACATGTTCTGAATACACACACAGACACAGAGAGACGGGGAGACAGAGACAGAGAGACAGAGACAGAGAGAGGGGCACAGAGACAGAGAGAGGGGCTAAGACAGCTATAGAGGATGGACACCCCCCCCCCGTGGCCGGGACAGGAAGGCTGCTAGGGTGCAGACACCCTCAGCGGGCGCCCCACACAGCCAGGCGTGGCCCCCGGTGGGTGAGAAGGTCCCCTCCGTCTGGGGTGGGCGCTGCTGTGAGGGTTCCCCACTGTGCTGAGCACACTCAGGGCTGAGGCTGGCTGGGATACTGGGCCGCGGCGAAATATTAGGGTGTTGTGTGTCCGTGTGTGCTGCCGGCCTGGCTGCGCTGCTGGGTGTCCGCTTCTGTGTGACGTTGTGTTTTCTGTGTGTGAGCACTGGTGTGTGTCACTCGGTCAGATTGTGCGTCTGCTACTGTTGTCCAGGCCAGCGATGCCTTACACAGCGGCAGTGGCGGTCGGGGCCGCGCTGCCCCGGCTGTGTGTGGCTCTCTGAGTGTGAGTGTGGCTCCGCTGCCCCGTGCTTGCAGTAGGTGTGGGTCTGTGTGATTTTGCATGAGCAGGGGGAGGCAGCCTCTGCCCGCCTAGCCCCTCTCCACCGCTGCCTCTCACTCTGCACACATTCGGTGCCATGGCTTCGGGCGCTAGAGACGGGGGCGAGGGGGGGCGGAGGAAGCAAAATAAAATTAAAAATTAAAGCTTGCCCGGAGTCCCCATCCGCACCGTGCCGGCCGGTGGGGAGGGGCGCTGGGGCTGTCCTCCCTCCTCACTGTGGGCTGGGCTGTGTCCATCTGTCCAGTGGCTCTGCCAAAGCTCCTGCCTGGCCCCATAGCCCCGGGCCGCAGGCCCCACTTCCTCCACGGGTCGATCAGCAATCAATGGGGCCAGGGGGGTGCCAGGGGCACGATGAGATCAAAGGAGTCCCAAGAGAGCCTCGGAGATGGGGACTGTGCAAGAAGCAGAGATTCGAACAGGGAGGCAGAGACGTGGAGACCCAGAGATGGAGAAGGGGCCCGGTGGAGACTGGGGATGGGGACACAGGCAGAGGAGATGCTGGAGCTTGATGTGTATGGGGGAGACAGGGACCCAGCTGGGGGCCAGGACGGGGGGGGGGGCACGGCGGGGCCCTGGCACCCACAGGACAGAGGCCGGACACGGACACGGGGGGGGGGGGGGGGGGGGCGGGAGGGGGGGGGGGAAGGCGGGGATGGGGGGGGGGGGGAGCGTGGGAGCAGGGCCCGGAGCGCCGATCCCACGGCTCCTCGTTATAACGTGTCCGGAGGAGGCGGCGGGGAGTTGAAAGCGTTGGGAAGAGAAATCAAAACCAACACGGAAATGAGAGGGGCCAACGGGGGGGGGGGGAGGGAGGCGGGGGACCCAGAGAGCAGGGGGGGGGAGTTAGAGGGGGGAAGTGTTGGGGGGAGAGATTGTGAGACGGTAGAGATGCTCAGGAGAGAGACAGGAGGGGTGGGGCTGTGAGGAAGGGAGCAGAGAGGAGGGAGAGGGACAGATGAGAGACAGAGATGGAGAGACAGAGATGGGGAAAGCAGAGAGATGAGGGAGGTGGTGAAGTGGGGAGTGGAGAAGGAAACAGGGGTAGGGACTGGGAGGTGGGGGCGGGGCAGAGACGGAAGTGGGAGAAGGGACTGAGGGAGAGAGTTGAGGGAAGGTGTGGGGACACTCCAGACGGAGGAGTGAAGGAAAGAGAGGCCACGAAGAGGAAAGAGGAGAAACAGAGTTAAAGAAGGGCTCCCAGAGCAATGGGGTGCGGGAGAGATGGCCTTTACAGGGGAGACCCCAGGAAGTCAAGGGAGGGCTGTGAGGAGGGGGGTACAGGGAGAGGACAGGAGTCCAGGGCGAGGCGGGCTTTCTGGTTGTATGGTAGGGGAGAGGTGTGTGGAGTATGCACAACTGTGGGGGTGACAGGATCTAACCGCTGGGTAGGTGTCTGAGGGACTACAGGGCCGGGTTTAAAGCGTGGGTGTGGCACGGGGGACCTCTGAGGGGAGCGGCTAAAGGATGAATGTTTGGCTAAGGCTATCTGCAGTGAGTGTTGGGGGCAGATGGCTAAGGATGAGGGTGTCTGAGAGGCAGAGCTCACCGAGGAAGGGGTGGGGTACAGGGAGGGGCAGATCCGAGGAGGACAGAGACCAGTCAAGGGGCTAGCCAAGTGGGGTGGCAGTCTGTGGGTGCTGGTACCCAGGAGAGGCTAGCCCGAGGAGAAGGGTATCTGCGGGGTGATGTCAATCTGGGTGGTGGACAGACATCTGAGGGGAGGGAGTGTCTGAGAGGGGCGGGTGGCTGGTCTTGGAAAGACTGCTTGGAGAATCTTCTTAGAGCAGCAGGTTTGAGGCCAGGAGTCCATGGGTTCGGGTGGCTTGGGTGGCTCGACTTTGGGAGGAAGGGAAAAGACTGCCGTGGGCAGTGCGGGTCCTAGGAGGCGTGCCTGGAGGGGCCAATCTAGGAGGAAAGGATGGAAAACCTTTGGTGAGCGGCAGGTTTGAGGTGTGTGTGTGTGTGAGCTCAGAGGACAGACTAAGACGAAAAGTGGCTGTCTACCTGGGAGCAGGGAGGCAAGAGCTGGGCCTGCCTCTCCCAACCTGGCTAGCAGGTTCCCGGCTCTGCCAGCCTCGAGCTGGCCACTGCTGCTTCGTGAGCCTCAGAGGGAGCTGCCAGGGGTCAGCCAGGTGGGGGCGAGTTTGTGCTTCCGAGAGGAGAGAGTGTGATAAATCTGAAGTAGCTGGGGAGAGCCCCGCAGAGGGAGGCAGGGAGAGCCAAAGACCCAGGGACCAACCCCTACTCCCTGGAGGTCAGGTGTGGGGCAGGAGTGAGGGGCACGGGGTGGCGGAGGGTGTTGAGAGTTTGGGAGTGGCAAATTGCTGGACTACGGCGAAGAGGACCAGAGAGGACGCTGGCGCCGGGAGGAGGAAAGGACAGTGGCTAGCTAGGGCCACCGGGACTGCGGGAGGGGCGAGGGCCGGGGAGAGGAGCCGCGCAGCGCCCCTTGGCTCTCCAGCTGTCCCGTCTCTGTCCCAGCTTCTGCAGGGCTCGCGCCGCCGCCATGGACTGCAGCTGCGTCTCGGACCTGCTCTTCGCCCCTCCTGCCCTGCCGCTCTGGACCCCTGGTAACTGACCCGTGCACCCCCACAGCCCCTCCCAGGGGCCGCACCCTCCCTTCTCTCCCCTTCCCCGTCAGCGCCACGGCCACAAACCCTGCGGTGAGAAACTTGACCAGACTTCACTCCCCGCCCTCCCTGCCGCCTGCCCTCCCCGTCCAGGGTCTTCTGGAGCATGAGTGAGGTGTCCAGGGGGAGTGAGGACTGAGATGGGGCCCGAGACCAGGCCTTTCCCCGCCATGCCCACCCAGGCTGCACTTAAGACCTGCTGCCGCCGCAGCGGGACAGCGCCCAGGGCTCTAGGCTAAGCCCAGGGGAGGGGCACGGCCTAAAGAGAGGAGGCGGGGAGGTGTGCTGGGGGCTTAAGCCTGAGGCGGAGCTGCTGCTGTCACCCGGCACGGAGGAGAGGGAGTCTGAGGCCGGCCGGCTGGCTGCTGGGGGGAGTTTCGTGGTGGAGTGTGCGCATTCATGGCCCTTCAGTGCTCCTGAGGGGGTCACGGAGGGCAAGCGTCTGCAGGGGCCATCTTTGTGTGAGGGCGCTCACCGCGGGAGCCAGTCCAGGGCCAGGCAAGTGCTCTCTTGGCGGCTTGCATGCCCCTGCCGCGGTGGGGTGCAGTGGCTTTCCCCGTCTGTGGCAGTCCGTAGCGTCTGAGGTGTACGTTTCGCAGTGTGTGGGCAGAGGGCCCTGGGCCTGTCTGTCAGGATCTGGGCTTGGGTTTCAGACTGGTCTGGGCTCTGGGGTTGTCTGTTGGAGCCCTTCTTGTCTTCTGATTGTGCAGACATGCTTGTGGAGCAGTGGCCTTCCCAAGGAGGTGTGCTTTGGGTATGGCTAGGCCAGGCTCCATCTAGCGGGACCCTGGCATCTGAGGTGAGAATCAGATTAAAATTCCCTGTCCACTGAGAGTGGCGAGAAGAGAGCTGCCTTCCTCCGGCAGCTGCAGCATCCCAGAGGGCGGCCTAGGTACCATTCTGCTCCTCCTGCCTCCGGAACCTCAGTCCAGACAGGGTGAGGGGCTAACCCGCTGGCTACACAGCCACTGGGTACAGGGACCCAGGTCTGCCGGCTCAGCACAGCGCCTCCCACGGCCCGCCTAGGATGGCCTCCCCTTTCTCCTACAATGCTCCGAGCTCACGAGAGAGCAGATTTAAGCAAGGCCAGATCCTGACAAACAGGCCCAGGGCCTTCTACCCACACACTGCGAAACATACCTCAGATACCCATCAAGAATGCCGCAGACTGCCACAGAAAGGCAAAGCCACTTCAGCCCACCACAGCAGGGGCCGGGGTCGGGTAAGAACTCTGCTCTGACCGCTCCGTGCATCCGGATAGCAGGGCCAGGGTACTCCTCTCACGGTGAAGCAATGCCAAGCGTGCTGACACACACACACACACACACACACACCTGAGCATGGCCCTGGAAACCTGTTCCTTGTCACTGTTAGCACGCAGGCAGGCACGTGCCTGTCTGTCTGTGGGGGACTTCAGCGTCATGGCCTCACCGTCTCTCACGGCAGGTGTTGGCCCCTGACTCCTTGTCACACACTTGTCAGTGGGCCTCAGCAGAGGCCTTTAGCACATGGTTGTGCACGCTGCAACGCTGGTCCCTAGGGTGCAGGCAGCCTGTATCTGGTGTTGGCATGAGTGGCCCCAGCAGGAGTGAGACAGTTGGGTGTGGTTGTGTCCCATGGAAGAACTCAGCAGGTGGGTATCTGTGACGCACTGTCTGCCATGGGCACCTACAGGCCTCTGCCTACATGTAGACACAGAGCCTCACACTGGGCAGCTCGAAGATGGCACGGGCACGGGAGAGGGCATGCTGAAGTAGATTCACTGGTGCACACAGGCTAAGTGTGCGCCAGGTGGTGCCAGGGGCCCTCAGGGCGGGAGCACATCACAAGACACAGGAGCTATTACAGGCCTCCTGACAGGGCGGCAGAGTTAAGGGTCACTGAGGAGGGATGGGCCCTGCCCCGCCCCAGGACAGCCATGGATGGGGTGGATGGCTCGCCCTCAACTCCATCCTCCCCTCCCCCTGCTGAACTTGGAACTGCACCAACGCATGTTGGGAGCACAAACCTAGGGACTCTCTCCAGCTGTTTAGGTAACTTGGGGAGCGTTGCCAGCAGGGTGGGTCTGAAGGGTAACTCACAGGCCCTCACGATGCCCCTCAGAGACGGGCATGTCAGGGCACAGAACCCAACAGGACCCCAAGCCCCCAGCTCAGCTTCCTCACCTTCAGTCCACCCTGTGTCCCGTCCTAGGGTTTGCCTTCCCAGATTGGGCCTACAAGCCGGAGTCGTCCCCTGGCTCGAGGCAGATCCAGCTATGGCACTTCATCCTGGAGCTGCTGCAGAAGGAGGAGTACCAGGGCGTCATCGCCTGGCAGGGGGACTACGGGGAATTCGTCATCAAGGACCCTGATGAGGTGGCCCGTCTCTGGGGCATTCGAAAGTGCAAGCCGCACATGAACTACGACAAGCTGAGCCGGGCCCTGCGGTGAGGAGGGGCTGTGAGCCAGGCTCTCACCGTACACTCTTACCCTTCACTGTCCCTTCCGGTCCCCCCAAAAGGTGGGGGAGCCCCCCCGTGTCCTAGGACCGAGTTCCGTTGGATCCCAGTGCCTGTGAGTGGAAACTGGGTGGCGGTGGCAACAGACCTTGAGCCCAGCTCCCGCCTCACCCCTCCCTTGCCCCTCCCCAGTACCCCGTCCTCTCTCTCACAGCTACTACTACAACAAGCGCATTCTGCACAAGACCAAGGGGAAGAGGTTCACCTACAAGTTCAACTTCAGCAAGGTCGTCCTTGTCAATTACCCCCTGCTGGACATGGCGGCCGCCGCCACCGGCTCCCCACTCTTGCTGACCCCTGGTCCCTTTTCGGGGGCGCCTGGGCCGGATGCTCCACCCCTGACCCCCGAGGTGAGTTCGGGTCCTGAGCTTGGGGCTGGAAGAGGGGCACCTGGTGCCCACACACGGGGCTAAGCAGTGCTGCCCCCCACTTCCCTCTCCAGACCCTGCAGAGCCTGTTCTCTACCCCACGCCTAGGAGAGCCAGGGGGTCGGGCGCCCCTGTTCACCCCCGAGATGGACAAACTGCGCCTGGACAGCCCCTTCCCATTTCTGGGTTCCGGTAAGGGCCTGGGGGTGGGGGCCTGCACATGTGGAGACAGGACCACAGGGGATAGCGGGACGGGGGGCACACGTGCTTAAAAGCCCGGGAGGGGATGTGGGGAGGGTGTAGCACAGAGCTGTTACCCTCAGTGCTGCAGCAGCCTGGTGTGCACACACCAGGATCCCAGCACAAGGGACGGGAAGCTGGGAGGTCGGGCTCCGTCACTGTCCAGCTGGGCTCCCAGACCGCCCAGGCTGCGGCAGGTAGACGGCACGGGAAGCCAACCTGGGTTACATCATGGGAACACCTCAAAAAGCCGTGCAAGGTGGGGCACACACTGCTGCAGAGCAGCCCAGCAGGGAGGGAGGTCAGAGGATGGGAGGAGACACGGGACCAAGCAGAGGATCGGAGACCATCGGCGGAAGTGCACGGGGTGGGAACCGAACACAGGAGGTTGGCTCACCACCATGCAAGCCCAGGTGGCTGGCGGGCCAGCCTGACCATCCCCTGTGCCCCTCCAGGTGCCGCCGCCGCCGGCTACTCCAAGCCCCCCGGCCTGCTGGGTCCTTATGGCCGCGCCTTCCCTGAGTACCCCTGGAACTTTAACCCATACCTCACGGGCCCCTTCCCCAAGTTGCCCCCCTCTCTCTACCCACCACACCTGTACCCCAGCCCCTTGGGGTCCCTGGGCCACTTGCCCTCTGCAGGAGGGGCCGGGGGAGGCCCCATGGCTGCACCCCTGCTGGCTGCAACAGGGGAGGGCCTGGGCCCTGAGCGCCCGTCGGGGCTGGCAGTGGCCCCTCGCCTGGCCCTGCCGGGGGCTGCAGGCCCAGAGACCGCACTGGGTGGGAAGGAGGACAGCGATTCCGAGCTGGAGATCACTGACGTCAGCGGCTGCAGTTCTGACAGCGAAGGCGATGAGGCTCCACCAGTGCCCCCCAAGACCAAGCCAGGCAAAGGGGGGAGCTGAGCAGGCGTACGGTGCATCCGCTGGTGACCAGGCAGTCACCCGTGACGCTTTGCCTGCTCTGCCCTCAAAACCAGCCCAGGGCCCAGGACAGCCCCTGGCACCCTCCTGGCCACCTCCAACCCCCAGGCGGAGGCCATCCCCTCTCCGGAGTGGAGAGGAACATGATGGCCTGTCTCCTCCAGGTACCATCTGAGGGGGAACCGCCTGGCCCCACTCTTAAGTGCAATATGGCGCCCAGCGTCCCCATCCCATGTGCTGTGACCTGCGTGTTTGTGTGGCGGTGTCCCCCATCTAGTGCCGGCCCCTCTTGAAATCCTCCCACACAGGGCCCCCTGGGGACAGGGAGCTCAGAGCAATAACCCCGCACCCAGCCCCCGCCCAGGAGGGCCCCTCCCCACTGGCCCCCCTCAAATCCTGCAGTCACCTCCAGAGTTTACTATAAAAATAAAAGGACAAGAGTGTGAGATGTGGGCCATCTGGCATTCGGGATGACACCGGGCACACCTCATGTTCCCAGTGAGTCCGTGTGGAGTCTCTGTCACACATGAATGGGAACAAGACAGTAAAGGCACAGGTGTTTGTCATGGAGTTTGATCTCCAGGACCCAGATGGTGGAGAACCCACTCCCACACAGGCGCCCCACCCAAGTGAAGGTGTGGATGGGCAGCCTGAAAGGAGCCAAGAGCTAATGGAGTCACTGCTGGTCAGCCAGCCATGGGCAAGCCCCGACCTGGGGCCCGAAGCCCATAGAGCACACACACAGATCTCTCCTTAGATAATATATATTAAAAATAAAACCTCCAATTCAGGATATAAAAACAGCAAAGGCACTTGGGGTAGGAGTGGAGGGGCGACCCCCCACAGGCAACACTGAGATGGCCTGGCAAACGGGGATTATGGTGGTGCTCTGGAGTGAAGCCCTGGGTCCCCCAAGCGGAAGGCAGGAGGAGAGAGGCAGAGGCCGGTGTGGAAGGCAGGGACCCCAGCAGTCCCTATCAAGTGTGGCCAGTCTGCCTTTCCTCAAGGCCTCTGGGGTGTGAGATGCTGTGGCAGCTATGGGGGCGGGGACCCCTCACATCATCTCCCCGTTTCCTCTCTTCATGAAAGGCCTGAGAGTTACAAAAAAGAGATGGAGGGAAATGGAAAGAGAGGAGCTGACGGTGGTGGGGACAGGGGTATCCTCTCAGCCCCCCAGAACAGCACCTGAGCCCAGTCCCCTCTCACCTATCTGGGCAGAACGTTCAGGTACAGCCAGGCTAGGGGACAGAGCTCCCCCAAGCTGAGACAGGAGGGGTCGCAGGCGGCAGAATTCCTCTTCCAGCTCCTGGAGAGGAACCACACATGAGGAGCCTTTCCTTCCGCACCCTGCGGAAGCCCCCAGCCCCGAGGCATACCTCCAGCTGCCTGATGGCCACCTCCAGGCTGAGCAGATTCTCCTCAATCTCCCGGGTGTGCGCCGGGCCCGGAGGACGCCCACCAGGCACCCCATCCTGAGGCGGGCCCGCTCCACTGTCTTCCTCAGCGTGCAATAGGAGCTGTTTCAGAGAGAGCACTGGCCAAGGCAAGAGGGACGGGGTTAGGAGAGCAGGGGCCAAGGGCCAGCTAAGGGATGAGGGATGGAGGTAGCTGTCACTGAAGAGGGTTAGGTTGGGGCAGGAGGCTGAGGCTGAAGAATCTGAACTTAGCATGATGTGAGCAGGGCAGAGGTTCTTGATTCATGGACAGAGAAATCTGAAAGATGGAACTTTTCTCTAGTTCAAACAGGCACCATTTGGCTAGCTGCTGGGCCGGAGGGTGCAGGGTTGGCCTACCTTTCTGAAGGGCTGTGGATGCAAGCTGGCCCTCTGGGCCCGGTCTGCAGAAGGGCAGGAGGTCGCTGAGGATCCGCTCTGTCCGGGCTGGGTAGGCAGACGGAGGGGGAATGCTCAGATCCTGCCTGGTGTCGGGTGACCTCCCCCAGCCTGTGGCCTCGGGACCTACCATCAACTGCCACCATCTCCCGGCCTCCAGTGCCGTTCTCAGAGCTGCTGAGCAGGGGTTCTCGGGTGCTGGGGAGGGAAGTAAAGGGTGAGCCCACATGCTTGGCCCCAGAGGTGGCAGGGATAAGGGGCCAGAGAGGAGTTGGCTATCTGAACAACGGGAGACGGAGGTCTGGAGACAGGAGACAGCGTGCTGGGGTTGGTGCACACAGCCACACAAGCCCATGTGTACGTGGGTAGAGGCAGGGCCGGGGCTCAGGTCCTGCAGATGCTCCCTCCTCCATCCTTACCTGTTTGGGCTGGGCCGGGGCTTGGGGCGGGATGCGGGGGCGGGGGCGGGGACCTTGAGGCACCCGGCGGTCTCAGTGATGAGGGCACACCAGCTGGGAAGACAGGCCGGCATCAGAGGCCGTAAGGACACGTCCACCCCGTGAGGACGCACACCTTCACACCGCCCGAGACTCACTTCTTGCGCTCTGATGCAGTCTGCGCCACCAGCTCGTATATCTGGGCCTCCTGGTCCCAGGTGAAAATGACGTAGAAAGCTTTGTGATCTGCACAGGAAGGGGAGAGATGGGGCTAGGATCCAGGGTTCCCAGCGTGTCCCCCTCCTGGGCACTGTCGACTACTCTCTCCGCGTGCAATACAGTTCCCCGTCGCTGGCCTTCCTCCACAGCCCTGCTCACAGGCCAGGGCATGCAGGCTGCCTGGCCCCGCAGAGCCCGCCAGCCCCTCCCGCCACCAGCGACCCTAGCACACCCTCTCAGCAATGCTCGCACAGCTCCTAATGCCGCACACCTACAGTTCCTAAGCAGGAGCCAGTGCTGTGAAGACCAAAGCCGCCACCACCACCAAAACATCCAAGCTTCTCTGTAACTGCAGGCAGCCCCCTCTACTTTCACCTATCTTTACTTTCTTACTTTGTTGTTTTCGAGACGGGGTTTCTCTGGGTAGCCCTGGCTGTCCTGGAACCCAGAGCTCCGCCTGCCTCTGCCTCCCGAGGGCTGGGACTGACGGTGTGCCCACCACCAAGCTCAGCTCTACTTTTAGTTTCCTGGGACAGGGCTACTCTTTGTAGCCCAGGCTGACCTCAACCTCCAGACCCTCTTGCCTCAGCCTCTTGGCGCCACCAGGTCTGCCGCCCATTCCTGTCCCTGAGACCCTCACAGCCTCCTCTCCCCGCTCCACGGGCACAATACCCAGACGACCCGCCCAGCTCACCAGTGGCCACCTCCCGGGTCATGGCAGATGTGAGGCGGAGCACAGGCCGCAGCATGGTCTTGCCGTCGGGCATGGGGGTCATCGTCCGACTGTGAGACTTGAGGAGCAGCCTGTCGTCCTGGCGCTGCAGCAGCAGCAGCAGGTCATCCAGCAGCAGCACGTGCACCTCTGTGGGTGGGGCAGAGATGGCACCTGACCTCTACCTCGCCGCCATCGCACAGGGACACAAGGGGCTCCCTGGCCAGAGGGGCTCACCTACAGCCTTGTCTTTGGTCAACCGCCACGTCAGGGGGCCTTCGTGGACCAGCTTCTTCTTAGTGATGTCTAGGTTCTGAAGCAGGAAGGAGCCAGGGTCAGCCAAGGTGACAGGAGGCAGCAAGCCCAGGGACCAGGGAGCGAAGTCGGGGGAGGGAGGTGGAAAGAGAGGCTCCCTGGGCGCATCCTCAGCTGCTGTGCGCGAGAAGCCCCTGAGCAGTGGGGCCAGGGTGGAGCTGAGGGTAGGCCACTGCGGTCACCTTGAAGTCGCTCAGCACAGGGTCATTGCTCTGCCGCAGGTGAGTCAAGTCCAGGCGCCGCTGGTAATCCTTGAGGCGCTAGAGCAGAGACGGGAGGGTTACTGGGAGCCGCGCTGGGCACAGGGCTGACCCCGGCGGCCCCCAGGCCAACGTCCCAGGGACAAGTGAGGTCCTGGTCTGACCTCCAGGCACCCCGAGGGGAAGATGCTAAAGGCCGAATGACTCCTGGATGCCGACATCTGAGCAAGGGGCCAGCCCTTCCCCACCGTGCCCCGGGCTCACCAGCAGGTCCTCCATCTCACGGACGGCTTGGTTGACGTGGTGCAGAATCTCCCGGCAGCACTCAGCTGCCAGCTCCACCTTCTCCCGCTCCGCGGGCTCTTCTGCGGGCAAGGGGAGAGGCTCTGAGCTGCCACCCCGGCGCGCCCTGCCCCGGCTGCGGTCAGAGGCCGGCCGGGAGGGTACCTGTGTTCTGTGCGATGCTCTGCAGCAGCAGGGGGTACTTGGTCAGTCTCTGCATCTCAGTGGGGATCATGTCCTTCAACTGCAGGCGGCGGCACCGCGGGCGGCTCTCTGCTTCCTGGGGAGCGGGCGGCACAGGGGTCGCCCACGGCCTTTCTCTCCCGAGACCCCAGAGCCCTGCTCCACCTGCCTCCCCACAGCCAGGACACCCCGCTGTCGTCGAGCCTGGGCTCGGGCCCGCCTCACCTGCACAAAGGCACAGAACCGAGGCTCCTTGCGCTGCTTGGCTTTGAGCTGCTCTAAGGCGAACGACTGGCGGCTGCAGAAGCGGGAGGAGATCTTCTGGAACCACGAGCCCTCAGCGCCATCGAACTGCAGGGAGATTCGGGCGAGGGAGGGTCTCAGGCGGGGCTGTCAGAAACAGTCCTGTACAGGACGGAAGCCTAAGGTAGGACAGGCCTAGGACTCAGACCTCTGGGGCACGTGGGGAGAGGACTAAGCCAGTGTCTAGAGCGGGGAGTGGTGGCGCACGCCTCTGAGGCAGAGGCAGGCAGATCTCTGTGAGCTCGAGGCCAACCTGGTCTACAGTGTCCAGGCCAGCCAGGGCCGTTACAGAGAAACCCTCCCTCAAAAGCCAGCAGTCCGTGCGGGGCACCCTCACCCGGGCCAGCAGCACGTCGCCGATCTCCTCAACGAGGCAGCCACTCTCCTGTCTCCGCTTCATCAGGCGATCTAGGAACAGGGCTGCGGGGACAGGGAGGAGCTGCTATGCGGAAGCCAGGAGACTGGAGGGCCTGGCCGAGCTGCTGCTTGCTGGCTTGGCACCCGGGGTTGGTGCGCTAGCACGTCCGTTTTGTGTGCTTGTTTAGTGTGTCTGTGCCCCAGGGGGCGTGCTGCGGGGACAGGAACCTGTGCTCCCCAGGAGTAGGCACTTAGCAACGGGTGGGCTCGGGTCTACGGGATGAGGGGCGCTGTGGCCGGCACTCACAGTGCACCTCAATGAGCTCATCCAGGCTGGGGAAGATGTTGTGCAGCTCGTCCAGGAGGAAGAAGCCGCCATCCACCATGGGCTGGTAGAAGAGGTCGTGCAGTACTCGGAGCATGCGCACATGAGCTGCCTCCGTCACCAGCAACTCTGCGGGTGGGCAGGAGGCGTCAGCAGGAAGGACGTGCTCTAGGGAGGGTTCCGGGCGGTCCTCACGCTGTGCTGACCGCAGCCTTACGATTATGTCAGCTCCTTCATAAACTCGCTACTGTTACAGTCGCATAGGTGGGGACCGGACACGTGACCCAAAGGTTGAAAACTGCTGGTCGGGGGGAAGTTTCAAAGGCATGCTGGGAGAATGCAGAGGTTGAGGAAGGGTCCCTACAAGTTGGTGAGGTCAGAACATGTTCCGGTGGAGTCATTACTGCCTATGTAGGCACTGAAGACCGCTGTGCAGCCGCGCACAGGCATGCGCAGCCGTGCACAGGCATGCGCAGCCGTGCACAGG